ATTTATTATTGCAGTAAAATAAATTTTCAAGAGGCCAGGCATTATTAATAAGTATCTTATGCTGATTTTATGCATAAAAATAGCAAATTATTATCACATTGTTGCTCACACTACCTGAAAGTCTATGTGGAACTTTTATATTTTTACTATAATTTTAGAAAATGATTTGTGCTCCTAAAATTGTTAATAGACAATAAAAACAGAAGATGGTGAATTGGTTACTTTCTTAAAGATAAATAATATCTTTTTCTATTGGAGAATCCCAAACTTTTCCTCAGTTTTAGCAATGTTTGCACATTTTAGGCTTTGCAATAAGCTATCCTATAAAACTCCATAGGCTCCAAGGCTTTCTTAAATAGGTACAGACTTCTTTCATGTGAAAAAGGTTCAAATTAGCACAAGAATTATACCCATACAGGAAAAGACAGTTTTGTAATATTATGTAAATGTTTATGTTTCCAATTGATGCTGTATCCTATACCTATAATATTAAAAATATGTCAAAGTTTCAATTATTAGATGAATTCACTCACTCTCAATGTAATTATACAGGTGATCATTAACAAAACAGAATCATTTTTAGTCCAGTTTTAGGAAATTCTTCCACTTTTATCATCAGAAAAGTAGTTTCATCATGAAACTTTAATCAAATTAAGTTAAGCCTCCATTCTTTGGAAATCTACACCTACTGTAATCCAGTTGAGACTGTAATCATATGCATTGCTTTTCATGCATTCTTTTTTATTTTTATTTTATTATTTTAATTTTAAATAGCTTGCTTCACATGTCAATCCCAGTTCCCTCCCCTCCTCCCGCACCCCCACCATCCCCCCCTCCCCACAGCCTCCCACCCTATCGCCACTTCCTTCCACATAGGGGATATCTAGAGCCTGTCATTTCACTCAGGGCAGGATCCAGGCACTCCCCTAAGAGTCCAGGCTGAGAGAGTATCCCTCTTTGTGTTATGGACACATAAAGTCCGTTTGTATGCCAGGAATAAACACTGATCCACTGCCCAGGGCCCCATAGGTTGCCCAGGCCTGCTCACTGACTCTCACACTCAGGGGGTCTGGATCAGTCCCATGCTGGCCTCCCAGCTGTCAATCTGGGGTCCAAGAGCTCTCTCCTGTTCAGATCAGCTGTCTCTGCTAGTTTTGCCAGCCCATTCTTTGCCAATTTGCTCATCGCTCCTCTCTCTCTGTCACTGTGTTCCATGGGTTTAGTTCAATGTTTAACTATGGGTGTTTGCCTCTGCTTCCATCAGTCACTGAATGAAGGCTCCAGGATGGTTATAGACATCAAGCTCATTATCAGGAATGGGCATTCAAGGTGGTCTCTCCACTATTGCTTAGCTTGCCAGTTGGTGTCATTCCTTTAGATCACTAGAGGTCTCACATGCATTCTTTTTGTGTGTTATCACATCGTATTTGGCAGATACATTAGATCATTTGAGAAACAACTTTATGCTTTACCTATCAAGTGGAAAATCATTTTATACAGGGATAGAGCAGATTTAGCAGGAACACAATTGATATTGTGACCTGGTCCAAGGAGGCTAGAGATGATAGAACTAAAAGTGGTTGCAAACTACCAAATGTGGGTTCTGGGTACCAAACTCAGGTCCTCTACACAACAGTATACCCTCATAACCTCTGAGTCATCTCTCCAGCACTAAATGTATTTGTTTATTAGAGTAATTCTGCTGTCATATGATTCCTTTACATTCAGTCTTACATGTTTTTAACCAAAGGAGCACACAATTTTCAGTCAATCTCAAATCGCACAGAAGGTAGAAGCACCTCATCACTCCTGAATGCTTTAGAACATTTTCCACAACGAAGATATTCTCCTACTGACTGACAGTCAACCATTACAGTCATGCTTGTTATAGCTCTGTTGCTCTTGTTCCCGTTTCACTAGTTCCTGATTAAGTTCTTCATAGAATAAGCATCAAGCTCAGCATTTCTTTCTGACATTTTCTTCGCCTTCAGTATAGAATGCCTCTCCTCACTCCACTCAACCTCTGACAATTTCCTCCATAGGCCAGTGCTACCACCTGTGTTCCCTCCACTGCTGCTGCTGAAACCATTCCCTAGGTGGGAATCTTGGGATGTACAAAGTGGGAAAATGAACTGAACACCAGAATTAATTGCTCTTTTCCTGATTGTGAATATAATGGGATCATCTGCTTAAAGCACCTGCTGTCTTCATTTCCTTACCATGAAGGATTATACCCTTGAACTATGACACAAACAAACAAAATCCTTTCTCTCTTAAACTGTCTTTATTGGGACATTTTATTATGTCATGAAAAGGGAACTAAGACAAGTACCAATTGACATGAAATTAAGTCTATTAATCATCAGCAAAACAATTTTAAGAATGATGTTACTAAAAGGTCAAAATTGAAGCATCTGCTGAAATAATTATCTCTATACTATAGTGGGCAAGTTTCCTGACAGTCACCCCATATCATGTCATAAATGAATTTTCTTCCCAAACAGAGCACTCTGACTCATTTGTCTTTCTTTTCATAGACTGACATATGATCTTGAGAAACAATTATTTAGGAAAAAGAAGAAACAACTTAAATAGTTTAGCTGTGAAACGACTAAACCAACCCACTGAGAAGTCACTATTTCTCAAACTACAAAATCAATAAAAAGAATTACAATGATTTCTATTACTAAGCATTTTACTGATTATAGGCATTTCTGTGAAGTTCAGTAAACTATTTTGCTATATAGTTTTAGGTTTGGCAGCCAAAGCTGGATTCTTTTCATTACTTTCTCTATTCTCTTTAGTTAATATATGGGTAATAAGTGAACTTTCATTGACTCCTAGGTATAAAGAAAGACTGACTGGACAAGATATCATGGTATCTATACAGGAAAGAGATTTTCAAATACCTATATTGACTTTTTCACTCATACTCAAGATGGTCTCACTTTTTTGATTGTATAGTTTGATCTGGAAAATTTATTCAGTCTAAGAGATAATTTAGAATACATAAGAAAATTCTGAATGTGGAAATACTAAAACTTTGTAAACTACAGAAGAAAATTTCACAACATTAGTACTGAAATTTTAAGTGACATCGAGTGTCTAGCCAGCATCCCCCAAGTTCATTGGCAAGCCCATTTAAACATGTATCTGTGTGTTTCAGATGCTTACTACCACCCTTCCCAGAATGCTCATTGTAAAAAGCAAACAAACAAAAAAAACAGCTTAGTTTCTGTTGGCGTCTTAATCCTCCCATTGGATTCTAAACAAAGTATTGTCAATACAACTAATCCTGCAATCTCAGGAAGCAATCTCAACTATGGAACAAAACTGGGAAAGGAGGTGCTAGGGTCTCCTCCCAACCTCTGTTCTCTTTTTCTCACAAGACTTTTTGAAGTTCTTTAAATAACAAGAGTGCCCTCTAGTGATTTATTGTTGAATACTCTATGAGCGGATTATTGAATTACTTTAGTATACTTTTTTTTCCTACAAGTTCTTCATTTCTTCACAGGTTCTGTTATAGGACCTAACAAATTGGGTCAGATCTAAATGTCTTTGTTTTATTAATAAGTCATTCCCATGAGACAAAATTAAACTTCAATTTTTATAATTTGCATAAAGTGTGGGATAAATATTTGTAAATTAATACAAACTGTTGGATGAGCAAGGCATGAGTATTGGTATGCAGTACATGGATTGTACTATCAGTCTTGAGAGTCACCTTGACTTGAGGATTCAGAGGATGAAGAACCCTGGAGTATGTCAATGTTCTTAAGAAAGGTTGAGTTGAATGCTGAAAGCTGCCTCCAAGGGATCTACCCTTTAGTGATCTGTATTTTTAAAATATGACAACTAGCACTTATTAGTTGAGTTGAAGAGATTTGGACTGGAAGGAGTGAAAGATGAGAGTAGAGAAAAATATGAATAGTTCCAATTAAGTGGTGTCATAGATGGTCATGGTTAAACTAAACAGGCAACAAACCAAACCAAAAGTCATGAATCTGGTCAAGGGACCAGTAGGAAAGGGGGATGGTTGACAGAGGTGGGGAGAGGAACTAGAATGCATTCTGTACATGCATGACATTGTCAAAGGTGGGGGCTTAATTTTAAAAGTTATTTTTAATTCAAGGAGAAGTGTAGTTTTAAAATTCTAAACTCATAATTGAATTAAATCAGTAGAATTTTATTTAAGCATATTTTTAAATTTTCATGTAAGATAAAAATAAAAGTATTAGGTTTTTCTGAACTGTTTAGAATATCATTATTATACTAGAATACTGACCATTCTACAAATAAAACCTTACTAGGTTTTTGCCATACCAAAAACATAGTACTCAATGACAAATTTTTAAAACGTAAAATGTTGGCATATAGAGAATCATTAGCAAAGTTTTGTCTTTAAGCAAGAACATTTTTACTGTTAGAAAAAAACACTTCTGTTAAGGGAACACCTAAGTGCTTTTTACCTGGGTGTTAAATTTGGTCTATAAAATTTAGTCTGGCCTACAGGTGCTCCATTCCTGAAGTACTTAAGAGTTAATTAGCATCTTAACTCTGAAGCTGCCAAGATCTGCAAAACTGTAAGATAATAACCGCTAAACTGATGCAGGATGATGTAATGCCTGCCAGTCATTTCTCTGATGTGCTTAATTCCTTGAAATTGTTACAAACCTCAAAGGGAATAAATGATGGCATTGACCAATTCCTAACTACACTATTCTTTTCGTTTTTATGAAAACATTCATTCACTCAATAGTTATTCAGGTATATAAATAAAAGATATATAAATAAAATACATACATCATATATTTTAGACCCTCTCAGAAGAGGAAAGGCCATTGTAAATAAATTACATTTTTCAGGTTGCAACTGAATAGCGTATATTCGAAAGCTTCTTATATTTTTCCCAGGCTATTCCGGGTCCAAATATGACCAGGATTAAATGCAAAGTTTTCCAGATAACATAGTGGAAGTTTTAAGCATTTCGCTGTACTTACGTGGATCTCCTGCTGCTACTAGGGGCTGGGTCTGAGCAGACAACAGCAGCAGCAGCAGTAGCAGCCACACATCCAGGAAGACTCCGGCGACCCAGGCCATGCTCACTTTGGGCTCCAGGAAAAATCTAAAGAGAGCAGCAGCTGCTTTGGGTGGCTCCGATGTCCTGCCTGTGTTCTGACCGTCCTCCCCCGGCTTGCTGGCGATGCTCCTGTTACGTTACTCAAGCTGCCAACCCTAAACTGGCCACACAGAAGACTGAGCCTGAGCTCCAGCTGCACATACTCGCGATTCCCGCGCTGAGTGCGCAGGGACTGCCACCTGGCGACAGACTGCCTCTCCAGCTCCAGGCTGTGCATCTCCCCACCTGTCCCAGCGGTGTGAGCCCTGACTCTCCAACTCAAGTTCCTAGAAGTGGCAGACGTCAAATGCTGAGGAGACAGGAGCCCATGTCCATTGTCTCTGCAGCTGTCTCTCCTACCTGGGTGCAGGCACTGAGTTCGGGAATCACCTGACTCATGATAGTAGAGCCTCTGGTTGCAAAGACTGGGTGTTATTATCTGGCAGGAAATGCATCCGGAGAAAATTCTGCTTTGTTTCAACTGAAAAAAAAAAAAAAACCAACAACAACAAAGGACCAGAAAAGACTAGATGGATGGGAACAGAGGCAGAGGCATAGACTTCCACTTTGTAGGACCTCTATCTGAAAGCTCAGGGGTCAGATAGGCAAGACTGGTAAGTGTGAGTTGTTCAAATCAGAATCTGTCTTTAACAGAGTTTTGTTTTGTTCTTTATGGTGCCCACCCCCCTTTCCACTAAATTTAATTTTTGCCAACAATGCATTAAAATATTATGAATCTAGGTTACCATCTCTTGAAGTTTTCACCTCATTTTGGTCTGGTCCTCCAGGAAGATGAGTGGTCAATCTCATTGCAGACAACTTGTGAAAAGAAGTAACTCCAGGGCAGGCACTTGGTGGTACAATCTACTCTCTCTCTCTCTCTCTCTCTCTCTCTCTCTCTCTCTCTCTCTCTCTCTCTCTCTCTCTCTCTCTCTCTTTCTGGGGAAGGAGAGGAAACCTTCTTTCCTCTAAACCCTAAACCCACAGAACAGACTCCCAGTAATTGGTACCTCACAGTTCCACAATAGTGCTATCCTGGATAAATAAAAGCTATATCTATTTTCTGTCTTTTCTATATGAAAACAGCTTTGAAAATACTCTCAAAAGTCTTCATTAAAATTAAGTTTAATGTTTCAGTAATATAAGCAGTATCTCTTAAGCCATTCATGGTTTATTAATTGGTTTCACTAAGCTACTTCTGCACAAGAATTTTGCAAATCATTCCTCTTTCACTCAGGAAATGTAGATTCTTGATTGACAGATTAATTGCCTTGGTTGAGAGAAAAATTGAGAAAATGGAACCCATTCCCTAAACTGAACAAAAATAAAACCACAAAATGTCAATGATTTCCAATTTTTGATTTTACACAAACATACAACCTGCACTTACTGTAATTCAGTGGAGTTTTGCACTCCTGTTGTTTCGTATCACATCTTAGACCTCCAGAGATCTCTTTTTGCCATAGTGAAAAGTGAGGCTTGTAATGATCACTGCTTCTAAAGCCTAGCTACAGAGCAAAGAGATGATGACAGAATCTTCTACAATGAGGATATGGCTTGAAAGAAACTAAGTTCATATTAAAAGAGGGGATGAAGAGATTACTCAGAAATTAAGAGTGTTTACTGAGCTTGCATGGGATCTGGGTTTAGTTCTCAGCACCCACACCAAGCAGCTCAACTACTTGTAACTCCAGCTCCATGAGATCTGATGCCTTCTTTTGTCCTCCTCCAGTACCTGTACAGGTGTGTGTGTGCATATACACTCACACACAATTGTGTAAAAAATGCTGTAAGACTTGAAAATTATTTGTTAAAACTTAGAGGAGTTTATTCTGGTGTAGGCATATCCTTCCTTGAATGATGAGCCCTGTGTTTCATCCCTTTAATAGGAATTTACTCATTTATTGCTTTTTTATGGCAGGATGATCTTGAAAATATTTAGAGTTTGAATTTATTATGTAAAGCTACGGTAAAGTAGATCACGACAATTACATTTATCCATTTATAAATTCTAGTCTGGAAATAATGTTCCTGGAAATGAAGAAACCATTTCTAGAAGGGTAAAAAGAGCACAATGTATTAAGTGTATCCCATTATAAGCTTCGGTTTTCAGTTCAAAAGATTAAAGTAGAATCCCTAAAAATGTAGCCACTTTTGTCTGCCAATCCAGTGGCACTTTAAATCCTAAACAGTTCTTTCTACTCATAAAAATGCATAACATCTCCTAGAATTATTTTTGCTTAGAATATTTTTCTGAGCATTGCAATGTAATGTTAATATAATTTTTCAAATAAACTACTGAATCAGTAATGATACAAAGCAGATATCATTTTGATGATTTACAAATGACGAAAAGGCTAAGGCTCTGTATAGGTCAGCTTCACATTGTAACAAAAGTAGAAACACTTAGATGAAATGTTTTAACTCTGGGGTTTGTGGCTGCTGTTGTCCAGGGCTCTGGAACCAACTTTGCTTCTTCTGTCCCTTGGGCTGTGTATGATCATGGACTTTCTGCCACTGCAATACTATTTGATGGGGTCTGTCTATAATGATTTGAGTGAATGGTCACTCAAAATCCATGTGTTAAAGGTTGAGCTGTTTGTGCCTTTGTGTACAACATGGTCAGGGAAGTAAGAGGAGCAAACCACTTGAACCAGAGGGCAGGAATCAGAGAGAGACTGAAAGACTGGGGTGTTACAATCTCCTTTGAGGAAACACCTAAATATCCTAAAGACCTTCTTCCTACTGAGTTTCATATTCTGAAGTTTACATCATTTTCCAATAGCAACCAAACTGAAAACCAACCCTTTAATATACCTTTAGGGGACTTTCACTCAAATCATAGCAAGCCCAGTAAGTACAGATGAGGAATGGCAGAAATTCATGGCCACTCATAACCAGAGACAGAAGGAGGGAAGTTTGCTGCTAGAGTCCTAAGAAGCAGCAGCCAGAGAGAATAGCTCTGAAGAGAACTGAAGTCACAGAAGTGAAAAGCTGTTTCCAGAGTTGGAAGCAACAGTAAGGAGAAAAAGAAGCACTTTGAGTTCTGACCTGCCCCTCCCCCCCCAGTTTCTTATTGTCTCATTTTAATCACAAGCACCCAGAAGTCAGGCACCAGTAGGGCAGGAAGTATGGACAGTGATGCTGAGAGTCGCAGAAAAAAAAAACAGAAAAGAGAAAAGGTCACCACTCTATGGATGCATTGATATTATCAATCCATAGATGATTGTATTATCTTTAAAAATATAATTTATTTTTGATTTTGTTCTGTAATGACTGACATGAAGTGGAAGCTAAGAGTGTAAAGCTAAAGTTTTGTGAGTATCTCTTTTTAGCTTAGAAACAGAAATAATTACACTTGCTAGAAATTAAACCAGCACTTTGAAGCTAAATAGTTTACCTCTTTTCTCTTTGTATCAGCGTGGAAGAGCAATTGTGCTGAATACCGCAGTATTGAGTAGGCTTTATACTAACTTTGGTATTGAAAAGTGACCTAACTCCACTTACCTTTTCTCGTTTTTCAAAGAAACAGGGAGATGATGTTCTTATAGGATAGAGAACAATGAGAACAATGTTGCATTTTGACATCCTTCAGTGTAATAGTTAATTCTGTCACCTGGATTGAGCAATGTCTAGAGTGTCAGTAAAGCACACATCTGAAGCCTGTAATGAAGTTTCCAGAAGTCATTTCATCTTGAGTTCTCTGAGATATTCAATGGAGTAATGTCTAATGGATTCATAATACATTGAGACTTGGGGAAGATGATGAGAGGTAGGAAGATGGAGCTAGTTGAACCAGGAAATCATTGGGAAGTGTGCCCTTGAGGCTATAGCTTGTTCTGACCCCTTACTATGTTTCCTGTTGCTCAATAATTAATGATTTTGGACTACTAGTAGAAAAACAAGAAGGAGGAGAGTACCAGAAGGGGTAGTTGACTGTAGGGGTATGAGATTAAAATGGGAATCAGCCTACCACAAGACCCAGCAATTCCACTCTTAGGCATATATCCAAAAGATGCAGATTCATACAACAAGGACATCAGTTCCACTGTGTTCATAGCAGCATTATTTGTAGTAGCCAGAACCTGGAAGCAACCTAGATGCCCCTCAACTGAAGAGTGGATAGAGAAAATATGGTACATTTACACAATGGAGTACTATTTAGAAGAAAAAAACAATGGAATCTTGAAATTTGCAGGCAAATGGATGACACTAGAAGAAACCACCCCAAGTGAAGTAACCCAGTCACAAAAAGACAAACATGGTATGTACTCACTCATATGTGGATTTTAGAAATGGATCAGGGGAGTGCCAGCCCACAATCCCTCTGCCAAAGAGTCTGGGAAACAGAATCTTCAACCAATGACTGATGGAAGCAGAGGCAGACAGCCACAGCTAAACACTGAGCTGAACTCAAGGAACCCAGAGACAAAGAGGGAGGACTGATGAGCATAGGGGTCAAGACTGGGCTTGTTTAACCCACAGAAACAGCTGACCTGAACAAGGGGGAGCTCTTGAGCCCCCGACTGATGGCTGGGAATCCAGCATGGGACTGATCAAGACCCCCTGAAGGTGGGTGTCAGTGAGGAGGCCTACGAAATCTATGGGGACTTGGGTAGTAGATCAGTATTTATCCCTAGCATACAAATGGACTTTGGGTGCCCATCACACAATGAGAGATGCCCTCTCCGACTGGACTCTTGGGGGAAGGCCTAGGTTCTGCCCTGAATGAAATGACAGACTATGGATACCCCCCATGGAGGATCTCACCCTCCCTGGGGAAAGGAGTGGGGATTGGGGGAGGGGGATTGGGGTGTTGGTGGGAGGGAGTGGGAGGAGGGGAGGGAAAGGGAGAGGGAGCTAGGATTGACATGTGAAGCAACCTTGTTTCTAATTTAAATTTAAAAATACTAATAAAAAAGAAGTCAACTAAATGACAAAGACCAGTTTCACCTACGTTGTTTTAACTAAAGTGAAAACTGATCCTTCAATGAGTCTCTACAGATGCCTCTCTCAGCAGGCACAAATACAGTTGTATATGTGAAGCTTGAGGTCTAAAGTAACCGGGTCCTGAATGTAACTGGGATATCTTTTGGGCTCAGAGATCTAAAGTCCTAAGCAACAGAGTTCACATTTTAAAGAACAGAAATTGGGAATATGGCATAAGAGGGCTTTTAAATTTTCTTCCACTATGTTTCAGAGCTGTGGACAG